CAAAATTCGGGACTTCATACCCATAGAGTAAAAAAAAAAGTGACATTTTAAAGGAAAAATAACAACTTTGTAAAACTACATTGACATTTTCCTTTATTATATTTTCTAAAAGGTAAATCAAAGTAATTATATAAATATTTTTGAAAATCATAAATAAATATATAAATAATGAAAAATACAAAAGAAGATTTAGTAGTAGGATAGGCTAAAAATTTAGGTACGTTAGGGATGAAAACTAAAAAATAAGAACCGACTGAATAAGAAAAAGAAGATAGGGATGAAATATATAATCTAACTGATATCCTAGGGACTATTTATATAGTTTACTCTACATATAAATGCAAGGACGGCTGTTTACCAACACGGCATTATATGGAGAAAAAGAGATGTCGTGTGTTTTAAGATACTAATAGGCTAACAGCGTGACAGTAGGTGTCCAAAGTGGTGCTATGATTAAATGACATGTGCTACAAGGATGACAATGAAAACGCAAGAACAGGGTGTGTGCTCAGATGGATTTCGTTCAAACCAATGTTTATATTTATGCCCCCACATCATTTATATTAGGCTCGAGAAAATGATATTATGTTGGTCATAGTCTATGCATACGATAATTTAAGATTTTTTATACTCTTCCAAAATTTTATCATTTATAGAACGTGGGTTGTCACCTATGTTATGTTTAGTTTGTTTTTAAATTTCATTAAATTAAAAAAAATATATGCACATAATATTTTAATAAACTCTAAAATTTCATTAACTAGAAAATGGTAGACAATAAGCTTTAAAACATACAACATACTTAAAATTAAAGCACGAGAACATAACTAACAATGAGCTTAAAGATTTTGTCATTTAGCACTTAGTCTGATAATTTGACAAAACTCAACAAGCTTAAATTGTTTGTCAACTTCAACACGGTAAGCCTCAAGAGCATCATCTAGCAAAGTATTTTTATTTTCATAATTTTCAGTTCCATGCATTACCCCTACGATACACATTGTTAAACTAAACCTAGAGTGTGTTTGTATGTCTCAATTTAAAGAAGATTTGATCTTTACTTTGAAGTACAAGTGTTTGAGGTGGTATTTTTGGCAACTCTCCTCTAAAAAGTAGTCGTAGGAAGGTAAATATGGATTGTGTTTTTTGTTACATCAATCCATGAATGAGAATATTTATTCTTCATGGGAGCAAAGACAAACCATTTTTTGTAAGGATGTTTTGAAGAAAATGGAAAATAAGAGGATTTGGAGAGTAGATTGAAAAAAATTTGAAGGTGAGGAAGAATAAAGATTGATGCTGGTATTAATAGTGAAAAATAGAGTGTTTAAATTTTGAAAATCAAAAAAAAAAAAAAAAAAAAAAAAAAAAAAAAAAGAAGAAGAAAGAACCCCAGTTATTTGATGAAAATTGAAAAGGGTGTGTTTTTTTGAAAATGGATTATTTTTTGAAAATGAGAAAGTGAAATAAGTGGTTAAAAATAACAAAAATAAAAAATCATTGTAATAGGTAGAAATCTACCGACTTTCCTTGCCAAGCCAAGGTCACCGAATGCATGCCTCGATGATCACCAAGCTATGCAAATGTCCACACTGTCAAGTCTTACAAACAAGTATTAATTGTTTTTTTTCTCTGTGTGATTTATTTTGGTTGTTAGACTTCATAAAGTGGTTCTGTTTCACACTCAATGAATCCAAGGTGGCCTCAGCGAACATTGCGCTGCCACCTCGGCGAGCTTGGTTGACAGTGGTGCTTGGCGAAATGTTACCTAGTTTGACCATTTCCCTTCAACCAATTAGCAATGGCTCTTTGGTTTAAAATTGATTTATTTTCTCTTTAAATTCCCTATAAATAAAAGTTAACACTATTTTACGTACCCCAACAAAACTTTCCTCCATATTCTCTCTAAAAATGTCATCTGAATCGTCTTCATCGTCGGATTTTTTTATGGATTGCTTGAAATGATCATAAAAGTCATTCAATAGGTTAAACAAAAGATTGAAGAACTACGAAAACAAAATGCGGATAATGTGTGCCGAAGAAAAAGAAGGTACAAACAAAGACATCGTGAGGCGGCTAATCAACGGCTCGTGCAATATTATTTTGATGAAAACAAGACATTTGAAGGATACTAATTTCGTTGACGATTTTTTATGCATAAACCTCTTTTTTGCATATCATCAACGACGTCACATCAGCATGTCCATATTTTCAACGACGTTCAGAATCTAGAGGTACAGTTGATTTTACTTATTTACAAACCACTACCGGACTTCATCAATTAACATATGTTACTTCCCCCGATGCGTTAGATGAGAATCTTAAGATGTGTGGACGTATTGCACAACAAAACTCTCACAAATTTTGTAAGTATGTCATGAGATTATATGATCCACAATATTTGTGCAAACCTACTCTAGTGGCGTCCAACAATTATATTTTCATCTGTCGAATGTGCATAGCTTCCTTAAAATGTCGGAAGCCTAGATTCTCTCCATTGGGAATGGGGCAATAGTTTGAATGCTTATCATGGGAAATACACCCGAGGCAATTATGGTTATCCAATTATCATATGTGAAGTGGTGGCCTCACATAATTTGTAGATACGGCTTACATTCTTCGATTCTGCTGGTCCCCTCAATGACATTAATGTTCTTAACATGTCTTCGTTATCTGACAACGTGTATAATAGGACTGCACTAGATTCCTCCTTTCAAGCATGTGGAATATCTTATAGGCACAGGTATTATCTTATGGACTGGATCGATCCAGAGCATGCTTGTTTCATGAAGTCACTTTCTTGTCCAAATGATCGCAAAGGGCTGAAGTTTAAGAGAGATCAAGAGAAGGCAAGAAAGGATGTTCAACGAGCATTCGGTGCTCTGAAAAAACGTTGGCATATTCTTAAATATCTTGCACCTTATGTGAATAAAATGAGTGAGGTGATGTATACTTGTATCATATTGAATAATATGATTCTCGAAGACGAAGGGAATGCAATATGTGAGTATAAGGAAAACGGGATCATTCCACTGAAAAAATCTTTTGAGGTTGGAAGTGAGGAGTACTTGGAGAGAAGAGATATAATTCATGATGTTGAGACACATCATGTTCTTCGTAGAGACTTGACGTAACATATTTGGACCGCCGGCCACATCGATCTTAACACAAAACCGGTCGATGATTTAGATGGTCAATTTGCCGATGAAAATGTCATTTAGGTCTATCTTGGCTTAATAATTTTAATTTCCATATTTTCTATTTTTAAATTATATGTTTTTTTTGGTTTGTTCGTTGTAATTTATATATTATATTAATACTAAAATCCTTGCTGAAAAAGACTTGGTTGTGATTGGTTGATTTTATTTTTCTTATTTCTTTAGTGGGTTTTCTTATGGGAAAACCACCAAAGTGCTACGTGTTATGTTATGTGATACATTATTGCTATGTGTTATATGTTCATCTCCCACCTCCCACTGCTACAAATTACAAATCGACACAACATAATATATACCACCTTGAATACGCCTTATTTCCTCTACCGCCTCATCTGTTTTATCTCTCCAACACCCTCCATCTATCTCTAAACCCTCTGCCCACTGCCTATAACCCTCCATCTCCCTCTAAAATACGCTACGCCTTCCAAACCAGCTTCCAGTACCTTCCACATATCCCTTTTTCCTCTGAATCCACTTCTTCCATCGTGGTTTGCGGATCTGATTTCGTTGATATCCCAATGCCCATCGATTGATATTACCCCCGAGAGATCATTGGTCATTAAGACAGATTCAGAGTTTTCACTAGACGTGAAAAGAGGAAAAGCTAAACACCCATCAATTTCGTAGGAAGTGGGACTCTTTGCTCTCTGACTACAAGAAAGTCAAACACTCTAGATCAAAAAGGGTGAGTTTCAATTCGGAGTTGTTTAAGGTGATAGAATGGTACGTGAGAGACTACGAAGTTGGATGTGATACGGATCCCGATAGTGATCCTGAGGCGCTGCCGGAGCCTGTATTTGCTTCCTTTCTACAATCTGGTAGGTAATTTATACATTTCATAGCTTTTCCATTAAGTAATCAGGGCTTCAACTTTGATTGTCGAAGTCGATCCCTATTCTGTTATGTTGTGATGATGAAATTTGGGAATAGAAGTATCCGGCAAGTAGTAGACCAATATCTTCCTGATATCATCATAAAGTTCGTATGAATCCTAACGTAATAGAAAAATGATTAGGTTTTGTTATACTATCATTCGTCTTAGCTCTTTAAATTAATTCCTTCCTTTTGATAATCCCTATTGGGATCTCCGGTTTGAGCTTCTAAAATGGAATTGTTGCTCACCGAATTCTAAACTTGGACCGATTTTACTCCAATTTTGCATTCTAATCTGCAATCAAACAACCCTGTTGATAATTTATATAATTTTCCCCATTTAGTCCTAACTTTTTACATTTTTGCCCTTATTTTGTTTCCTTGAAGCATCAAAGACACAAAGATCAAAGATAATACCTCAAAAACGCACCATAGAAGAGACACCAAAGCCAAAGAGACCCATCAAAAATGAAGAGATGAGGTACGTGCAAACTCTATGCTCTACTTCTTACAATAATTTTTTTGTAAAAATTAGAAATTGCAACCATTGGTTAATGACCTAATTTGACAATTCTAAAATTTCATCTGCTGAAGGTGTAATTCCTTAAGAATACATACTCATTAAATGTTGACTCTTGATCATGCTAGGTTCAATAGGTTATTCGTTCTCTTTTCTCTCCATGTTTGATCCGAGTGAATGCTTTTTCTTTCATCATTCATTTTTTTATAAATTATTAATACGTTCTTTCTATCTATAGTTTCTGTCAAATTATCAATTGATTTCTCATTTTTCATTTCATTTTTTCTTTTATGTGCTATGTAATATGTAAGATACTTTTACTAAATATCAGTCAAACATCCTTATATATTCCTACATATCAAAATTTCGTTTTAATTTTGAGATTTTTGCTGCTTAATCGGTATCTGTTTGCCTCTTCTACGATAAGCTTTCAAATGCTACTAAAAGATTTTTAACATGTTTACAAGTAAAGAATTTAATTTTGTTGTTGATTTAAATATATATAGCTTGACAAGTGTGTCAACTTACGCCATGTAAATGACAAAATTTTGTTGTAGTGTGGCAAATGTAATATGTGATGTCTATGCCGACCATAGCAAGTGACACCACCCCATTTAGTTTTATTGTTATTACAATTGTCTAAACTCAACAAACACACTAGGCTTTTAAGCTTATGTATGGAAGCTCATTCGTATACAATCATTTTTTGTAATCCATAACAACTTTTTATAAATAGATAAAATTTCAATTTCCTCTATTTTCCGGAACCAGGGGCGGATCTATAGTGGTACACGGGGTTGCACCGGCAACTACTAGATTTTTTCGTATTAATATAATATATAATTTTTTTTTATTATTATTATAAACCTATAAAGGAATGAGTATATTATCGTTATACTTCACATGTATTATCAAAAGTTAGGATGGCTAAGTTGGTGAAAGGCGCATGCTAAAGTGTTTTTTGGAAAAAGGGCTCGAGTTCAAATCTTGCTAGCATCAAGGTGTTTTTTGTTTTTTTTTTTGTTTTTGCATTCACTTTTCCTTTTACAAACTATTTGTTACTGGCCCCAAAAATCTATAGCCAAAGAAATCATGTTAAAACTAAACCCTTTCAATAAAATTCAATTAAATTACTTTAATAGTTGTTTAAAATTCTTATATTAATAGTTTACTTTTTCATTAACTTGACAACCATTTAATAAAAAATCACTTTTTTCCCGTTAGCAAATATATGCTCCCATGAACTCAAAATCATTTCAATCGTCTTCATATTTAATATATATTTTCATACACAATTAGGCATATCAGAGCTATATACAAATTCTTTGTGACTCATGACCTTTCATAATTTTCTATTTAATTTCTTCTCAACGTAATAGCTTTTCCATCATAAAAAACGACAAAACAATAATACAATAATATGATAAGAAGTGACGGAAAATAGTGGAGTGAATGAGGGAAGAAGATATATTTTGGAGATATACTAGAAAAAAATATAGACATTGAATAGTCATTTATTTTTATATAAGATTTAATCAAAATTACATAGTTTTAATATGTTCTATATTTAAGGTTGTATACTTAACGGTCTTATATTCACTTTTGGCGTAAAATAATTACTTAGCGAGCTAGTCTCCTCCTATAGGGGTCCTACTTTAACAGTTATTTCCATACACATCACACACATATATGTGTACATACGCATTACATATGTTTCAAACTAAACAACTGTTTTTTTTTCATAATTATTAAAATTTAGGTCAACTTAATTTATGTCTTATTATACATTGTTTGTTTTGTTAAGCAAATATATCGAACTTATAAAAAAGCATTTATTAGTTGGCATTTGTATATTATATTTTGCTCTAAACAATGGAACTTATAAATATGCATTAATTCGGAATCAAATTTTGGTAATATTGCCTTCAAAACTTTGTACAACCACAATCAACAAGGAAATAAACTCCACGAGACCAAGAACTTGTCCATGAAAAGACCAATTTGACCTTCACGAAGTTTGTCTACAATAGTTTGTTATGTTTAATGCACTTGTATTTTTTTTTGTTATATTTTATCGGATTTTTTTTGTGCACCTACTGCTACTTATTCCTGCATCCGTCCCTGTCCGGAACTTTACATTTTACCTCTCCAACTAAATTAATATATTTCTTTTTCCACATATATATATATATATATATATATATATATATATATATATATATATATATATATATATATATTGCAAAATTTCAATTTTGTTTTTTCATCTATTTTACGGAACTTTACATCATACTTTACTTCTTTCTCTTATAACATCACACTTTGATGTTTGGATTTTAAAACAGGATGATAGACAATTTGAAAATAAAAAACTGAGAAACGATTGTTAATAAAAAATGAGACACCAATCTGCAAGAAACTATAAAAATTTAGAAACACTGATCCACTTTTTTTTAACAGCAGAAACATTGATACACTTATACAGGGAACGATAAAAAATTTGAATGATGATATCCAATTCCACAAGAAACGATTCATAATCATATTAATATGTTAAGTTAGTACTTTTGCAAATCCAATGAGACATATTGATACATGCTTGTACAAAGATCAATTAAAAATTCAAATCATGATTAACCAATTCCATATTAGCTCATCAATATACAACACACGATTCCAAAACCATTTCAAGATTCCAATTTAGTGTTTTTGCAAACCGATTAAGAGACACATTGTATAGAAAACGACCAACACCAAAAATAAAATTGAAATTGTAAAGACGTTAGGGCGTACCAGTGAAGCAAGCCAAAGAAAGATGGTGAACGAAGGCGATGAAGGAAGCCGGTGGCAACGACATCGGTGGAGCGAAGCGGGCGATGGTCGAAACAAAGGTCGTATACGATGCATGAGTAGTGGTATATATTATGTGATACATGGGAAAGCTGATAAAGTGTAAAATATAAAAAGTGTATAATTGTCCATTTTGGTAAAATTGTTATGAATGACAAAAAATCGTTGTGTACGAATCAGCTCCCTTATGTTAATCGGATTTATCATGTATTTATGATCTTAACTAGAGTACTTTTAACCATACCAAGGTGATTTTGAATGTTATTTGAATGAGAATATATGAGTTCTAATTTTACTGATATTGAAAAACATGACTTATTTTAAAAAATTAAAAATATCTTGATACTAGATAATAAAAAAAAAATTAAAATAAAATAAAAAAACTAAGATTTATAATATAGTAATTCCCCGATCAAATTAATAATTATAGAAATGATACTTACAAGAAATTGGTACAGAAAGAGTCCTCGAAGATATAATCACAAATATAATAATAATGGGCGTGTTCGGCATGGAGTGTTTGGGAGCTTCTAGATTCTAGCGTTTGACAAAACGTTTCGTTTTGAACAAAAGTATCGTTTGGAACTACAAGCTTTTGGCTTTTAGTTTAAACAAAACGCTTCAAATCCAAATGCTCATTCATGTAACGTTTAACAAAACACTACAGCCTACAAGCTACACGCTACTCGCTACAAGCTAGCCGCTACTAGTTAATTTTACAGAACACGCCCTACGTAATAAAGATTAAAAAAAAATTATACCCATATAGGCCTTTTGTAATATCAAAATTACAGAAATAGTTCATACATAATCTTTATTTTAATAAAAGAATATGTTTATTCTATTTTTTCATATGTCACCCAATTAGGCCTCCTAATTAATGTTATGCTACTTGTTAACCTATTGATTTTCCATTTCAAACTTCAAATTTCTCACTCTAATTACATTAAATTAATAAAAATTAGAATAAAAATTAAAATAAAATTAATACATATTCTAAGGTCACGTATTTATCTAAATCAACGATTGTAACTTTATATAACTAAAAAAATATCTCTTAATTAATAATTTATTTAAAATAATTGACTAATCATTTTTACTATGGAAGTTTAATTAGATTTATAATCGTTGTTCGTATGAGTTATAAACTAGTACTATAAAAAAATACAAAGGCAGTTTGTTCGGGAAAAACAAGTGATATTTTTCAAGACTGAGAACAAATTTGATGACACTTACCAGGTTCTGATGATCCTTGTTAGGAAGTAATGCGGATAACAAGCAAAACTATAAGCACACAATACACATTGTTTACGAGGTTCGGTCAAGGTGACCTACATCCACAGGCAGGATGGGAGTATTATTTATTTTAGCGTTCTCAAACAGAGGTTACAAGTACAATTCACTAGATATTTGTCCTACTCACTAAGGTTATAAGATAAAAGACTCAAGACACTTCAAATGACTCAGCATGAATCCTTATTTATATTTGATGGATCAGACCTAAAACCTTAATGGGCCAAGCCCATTGGCCCATAGGCCCATGAATGGTGACAACCAATCATATTCCACCATGAAGCATCTTTTAGAACATTTTTCCATGTCATACAAACCATGAGCATCAGCAACAGACATGATGGAGCACCTTATGCCTTAGTGGAGCATCATGATGTAAAGTGGCACATCAAGAAGACTAATGGCCTAACATCTATCATGGTGGCACAACATGATGTAATCCTTGAGCAATACCAACTTTTGAGCAACCTTGAACAATCTTGAGCATCATAAAGGACTTCATAGCATACTTGGCTTATCAGGGATATCATGGGTCATCTAGGAACCAAACATGGCCCATCTTGCACCATGATGGCGCAACATGTGCAAGGATGGTGCAACATGCTCCAAGTGTGGCACAAGAACACTTCTAGGTTGGAGAAACATCATCACCTTGGTGCACCAAGAACCTACTTGGCACAACAAGGCTTCTTTATGGTGCAAAAGACTCTCCATGGCACAATAGGGATATCCTTGGAGCAATAACATCCTTTTTGGCCCAATTCTTTAATAGATGATGTAACTGATGGGTTATGAGCATAACATCAATTTTATGGTGTTCATGCAACCCTAATTGCTTTGATCTAGGTTTTTCTAAGTTAACATACAACATTGAATACCTAAGCAATAAACCCTAATTAACTAGCATACAAATCTGAAATTGACATATGATTAGGATTTTTTTGTGGATCCCAATTCAACTCAGACCCTCTCCGATGTTGCCACTAGACTTGAACCAGAGGCACCTCTTTGCTCCTCAAAACCTTCACCTTTCAATCTAAAATCCCGATCGGCCTCTCAATGTAGTTCAGGATCGCATCCAGTTAAATGTCTTCTAAGTGTACCACTACTGTCTCATCGGCTACACACTTCCTCAACTGGGACACGTGGAAGGTGTTATTAATCTAACACAACTTTGTAAGTAGCTCCAAATGGTATGCTATCCTACCCACTATGGTCATCACTCTAAAAGTACTGATGTATCGGGGCCCTAACTTGCCCCGTTTCCTGAATCGAACCACCCCTTTCCATGGGGATACCTTCAGGAGGACAAAATCTCCAACATGAAACTCTATCTTGGATCGTCGCATGTCTGCATAACTCTTCTGGCGACTCTGGGCCATCAGTAACCTCTGTCTGACCTACTGAATCAGCTCAGTCATCTTCAACACTATCTTAGTGCCACCCATCACTCTCTGTCCCACTTCTCCCTAACAAATGGGAGTCCGAAACCTCCTACCGTATAAAAGCTCAAAGGAAGGCATACCAATACTCGCATGATGGTTGTTGTTGTAAGAAAACTCGGCCATGGGTAAACAAGTATCCCAACTTCCTCCGAAGTCCATAACACATGCACACAACATGTCCTCAAGTGTATGAATCATCTGCTCGCTCTGCCTGTCCATCTGCTGATGGTATGCAATACTGAAATGAAAACGCATGCCCAACTCCTCAAGAAATTTATTCCAAAACCTGGAAGTAAAACGCACATATTGATCTGACACTATCGAGGTAGGCACCATATTCCGTGCTACCACCTCTCTCTCATAGATCTCATCCAATCCCTCTGCATAAGAGCTCTCACTAATATCAATGAAGTGAGAACTCTTTGTCAGCCGGTCCATAATCACCCAAATCGTATCAAATCCACATGCAGTCTTCGGTAACTTGGTGATAAAGTCCATAGAGATATGTTCCCACTTCCACTAGGGAATCTCCAGAGGTTGTAATGGACCATGAGGATGTTGGTGCTCTGCCTTAACCCGACGGCAGGTCAAGCATCTCTCAACTACCCATGATACATCCTTCTTCATACAGGGCCACCAATAATCTCTTTTCAGGTCTAAATACATCTTAGTGGCCTCGGGGTGGAGCGAGAATCTCGATCTATGCCCCTCCTCCATCAGTATATACCGAGCTCCGCCCGTATAGGGCACCCAAATCCGCCCTCAGAAAGTCATAAGCCTTCGACTATCCATCACAAACTCATACACCTGCCCAATCACCCGCTCTATCTTGCGGTTATCCAGTCTCACGATCTCCACCTGGGCCTCTCGAATGGTATCTAAAACTAGATTCATCACCATTATCCTCATATACACATCTCGGATGGGAGCACTCTCTGCTCTATGGCTCAGGGCATTGGCTACCACATTAGCCTTTCCTGGATGATACAGGATCTCACAATCATAATCTTTCACTTCATCTAACCATTTCCTTTGTCTCATATTTAGGTTGGGTTGATCCATGAGATACTTCAAGCTCTTGTGGTCCGTGTATATGGTACACCAAACCCTGTACAAATAGTGGTGCCAAATTTTGAGGGCGAACACCATCGCCCCCAGCTCTAGATCATGGGTGGCATATCTCGTCTCATGAGGCTTCAACTGCCTTGATGCGTATGCTATCATGTGCCCCTATGCATCAGCACCACATCCATCCCTTAAAATAGATGCATCGCAGTAAACTACAAAGTCCTCCACTCCCTCAGGGAGTGATAACATCAGGGCTTCGCACAATCTCTAGCAAAGAGTCTCAAATGAGGCATGTTGCTCGGGACCCCAAATAAAAGTAACACCCTTCCGGGTCAACCTGGTGAGAGGGACGAAAATCTTGGAGAAATCTCTGATAAATCTCTGATAGTAGCCGGCCAAACCTAGATAACTCCTGATCTCGGTGGGGGATCTCGGCACCTCCCATCTCATCACCACCTCGATCTTGCCAGGTTGACCAATATCCCATTCTGGTTAATGAGGTGGCCCAAGAACTGGACCTCTCATAACCAGAAATCACACTTGGAGAATTTGGCATAAAGCCTATCCTACCTCAAAACTCCAAGAATCTCTCTCTCTCAGATGCTCCTCGTGCTGCTCTCTGGATCTTTAATACACTAAGATATCGTCGATGAACACGATCACTGATCGATCCAACATAGGCCTGCACACCCGGTTCATGAAATCCATGAACATTTTCGGTGCATTGGTGAGCCCGAAAAGCATCAACACAAACTTGTAGTTCCCATAACAATTCCTAAAGGCCGTCTTCTGGATATCCTCCTCGCAGACTCTCATCTGATGATATCCATACCTCAAATCGATCTTGGAAAACCAAGATGCCCCCTGCAACTGATCGAACAAATCATCAACTTGGAAGTGGATAATGATTATTGACCGTCAACTTGCTCAACTCTCGGTAATCAATAAACATCCGGTGTGAACCATCCTTTTTCTTAACAAAAAGGATCGGTGCTCCTACGACGAGCTACTCGTTTTGATATATCCCTTTCCCAACAGCTCTTGGAGTTGTGAGGATAACTCCTGCATCTCTGGTGGTGCAAGGCGATAGGTACCGCTCCCAGAACCAAATCAATATGTATCTCCACTTGCCTCTCGGGAGGCACACCCGGTAACTCCTCGGTAGAAACATCCAGAAACTCACTGACTATTGGAACCTCAACGATAGAACTCAGTCTCTTGGTAGCAACCCTCGTATCCATCACATATGCTAGAACGCCCCTGCAACCCTGTTGTAGACTCTCTCTCACTCTAGCATCCAAGTAGAAAGCTAACCAAGATTTGATACCCTCGCCATACACTGTAAGTACTCCCCTACTAGGGTCTCGTATGGTCACCACCTGACGCTCATAGTCGATCACATCTTCAGACCGACTTAACCAATCCATGCCCACAATGATAC